GACGCAGCAGGTAAACAAACCAGCCCGGCCTGCCAGGGGACTTACCCTGGCGAGCCACATGCCAAAGGTTGCCGATCCCTGGCGTAGACTATCTATATGTGAAGATGTAAGGAAACGTTGGTTTTGAAAATCTATTTGGAATATTTCACATCCCTGTTTCACTGTTACTGTTTTTCTCCTTTCTGCAGTCGCATTTTATCTCTGCACTGACAGTGGTGTTTGTAAACTCCAAATCCCTCTCTTCGCTTAAAATAGATGATACGCCAGTAGATGATCCATCCCTCAAAGTACTAGTGGCTAACAACAGTGATACACTCAAGCTGTTAAAAATGAGCAGTTGTCCTCATGTTTCTCCTGCAGGTGAGCTACCCTGTGTGTGTTTAAAAATGTGTGGTGGGTGTGTTTGTTGTGGGGTTTTTTTTGGTTACACAGTGTGAACTTTCCAGCAAGCTTCTGAAAAATTGGGGGTTTGGGCTAGTATTTACAGCCTCTGACATTTTAATACTTGTTCCACTGTCTTTTTGTTTCATAAGAATATTAAAACTGTATGCCTAGAATTATTTTGACTAGTACTGAAACATAGTATTTGACCATCATCGACAAAAAAAATTTTTTGGAGGGGGGGAGGACAGATGAAAATTTATTTTAAATTTTTTTAAACATAAGCAGTATCTGTTTACTGCTACAGCTTTAAAGAAAGTTAAACTGGCTAAGCACCTAAAACCAGAGTGTGTTGAAGTGCTAAACCAGCTTTTGACAGCGGTATCCTCTTCTGCAAGTGCAGAATAAATATTTTGTTTGTTCAGTTCAATGATTAGTTCATTCAAAGTTTAAAAACCCTATTCGGAGTTGAAAAAACCAGAATTGTTTTCCTTTTCCAGTCTAAGAATAAAAACAAGGTGTGAGCGAATGAGATCGACTAATTCTAAAATCTTAAAAGACATGGTGACCAGAAACAATCAGTTTAGTTCATTAACTACAGATGATGCATCCTTTGTTTAATAAATCAGTTTTTATCAAAAATATTTTGCATTTAACTTTATTTGTGTTTCCATCACATAAAGGCAGTTTCATTTAACCAATACAAATTTAAAATGTTGTTCTAAAGTATTTTTTAAATAAATTCCAATTTCCATCCAAATAGAGCATGATACAAATAAAAAGCTAATCTAGTAAATAAGAGCATCATTCACCATTTTCTAACAAAGTAAAAATTAAGAATCTATATATGCTATATAATTGCTGAAATAAATGTGCATAGCTATAGTGATCCTCCTGATAATCAAAAGAACCAAATTCATTGTAAAGTTTTATATAGTTGCAAATCAACATGTTTTAATGGCTACCAACTAATGAGAATAAACTTTTCTTTAGGAAAATAACAAGTATAAATACACAACAAAATTAAAACCCAGTGATTTTAAATCAGTTTTCTACTTGTTGATTTAAATCAGTCCACCCTGGAGGAGGATGGGTGGGGTGGAGGTAGAGGAATCCTTTTAAAAGGCTGAATCCAATTTGATGACTTTTAAAATGGGTTGACAACTCTCTTGTGCTTCACTGGAAGTAGAATACATTCTCCGGTATTTCAGAATGTAAGTTTTTCCAGAGCAGTTCATTATGACTATGACTTGAATTATGGCGTGCCATGGATAATGGAGTGGCTGATTTTCCTTGTTCTGAAAGAGCAATTTTATCCTTTACTTGAATTGAAAACAAGAAAATAGACAACACAACATCAAAGGGGTGAAGGACCTGAGCTGTACAACACATCTTCTGTCACTGACAGTTCTACTTCTCTAACACAATGAAAGGGTCTGTGGCAAGGGTGAAGCTAGTTTGTGCAGTAGACAGAGCATTCTCAAGCTGGTTCAAGACCGTAGAACTTAAGAACTACCTTACATTTCACTATTTTCTGTTCCAAAAGCAATGCATGATTTGAGCTTGCTTTCACAAATAACAGCACATCAGCTTAAAAATGACACATACATTTTTCCAAATCGCAGGAACCAAACATGAGATGCTATTCATTTTCTTTAATTTATCTTTGGAAGATAGTTGAACACCAGGGTGATACATATAATGTAAAAACCTGAATGAAACAGTAATTTTAATAATTACATATAAAATTTAGCAGCACAATGCTGAGTAAAGATGTAAGAATGATGAGAACTCACACGCTAATAAATTTACTTGGTGGTATTTGGATGTGTAGCTTTTCACAGATAAGGGTATATATTGTTTTAACATGCAGAAATCTGTGGAATGCTAAGAGGAGTGCTGGTATCTTTAAAAAAATTTAATCACAATTACTTTCAACAAGACATTGACTTGTACACTATCCTAGAACTAAAATAACTCAGTTTTTCTTCCCTTCCCTCCCCCCAGTTTACTGCTTAAGCACTGCTTAAGTTTGTAATAGTTGGTATTTGACAATACTTTGCTTTCATGAACATAGAAAATCATCTTGTGTCAATTTATATTATAATGGCCTGGTTTAAATTTAAAGATTTTAGGTGGAAAATGGCATTTCCTTTTTAAGAAATAGAGAAAACTACTGTTGCCCTTTTTGTGAGATGGTAGAATGGAGCAAAATGAAATAGTGACAAAACAATGGACTGTGCTAAGCAAGTGGGAAAAGAACTCAGCTGAGAGCCATAGCTGAAGTCTGGTGTGGCTGGCTAGAGAAAACAGAGTGGAACAGACTGGAAATGAGTTAGCATGTAGACAGTTGGCTTCATGTTATGTTTGAGCTCCAAAGCAGGGAAACTACAATAGAAGCAAGAATATGTGGAAGAAAATAAGAAAACTTTGAGTACTCAGGCTTATTGTTTGTTTTGTTTTTTTGCATGGAAGTGTTCCACTTACCAGATTGAAACTTGAAAAAACTTGAATTCACAGTGCCTAATTCCTTTTGAGCATTCAATCCTAAGTGACGTGCCTAGAGTCACACAGGATGTTTGTGGCGGAGTAGGGATCTCCTACGTTGCAGGCTAGTGCTCTAGCCCCTGGACATTCCTTCCTCTCTGATTTTATTATGGAGGCACCAGTCACAGCTCTTCGGTTGAGTTCTGCAGTTTATATTGTTTGAATTACAGTGAGTCATCTGACCATTATAGTTACCAGTCACCTAGAGGTTTTTATTATGATTTTCATATTTTCCTTTCAAAAATAATACTTCAGAAAGGATTACATTTCACTGAGTGCTGTTTTAGGAAACATTTTCCTTTGTAACAAAAACATGAACACTTGTAATGTTACCATGAACAATTCTTACTCCCAAGTCTTGCAGTATCTCTGTATGTATCACTTCAGTTTTTCCACAGGGTTACTGGGGAAGAGGACATCTCTGACACCTCTATTTCAGTGTGTAAATTGCATAATATTCTGGAATTCAGTATTTAAGCTTTTGGGTTTCTTTACTTTGTACTCCAGTCTTTAGGAAGCTGAAGAATTTCACTCAAGTTTAATCTTAAAATTGATTTTGAGAATAAAGACAATGTTCATATTTGCATTATTTGTACAGGAAATTAAATAGAAAAGACACTTTAGTTATGCAACAGAAAGAATTAAATCGTAAGATATTGAAATGAATGTAACTGGTATACACTAAATGCAGCATTAAAGAGACAGATTGGAGAATATTATTGATACAATGAAAACTGTTTTACATTTAATGTTTCTGATCCTGAGGTTGTAGTTTTGTTGAAGAAATCATTACATTTTTAGGACCAATGTTTTGAGTAAGTAGAGCTTAAGTGAAAATTCTTTAGAGGTTTGACAGATTTTTTTCCAATTATTGCAAATTTGTAGCTTAATTTTTCAGCTAAAATTTTCAATTCTGAATCAAGTGTTTGTTTCCTGTAAGTAAACAAAACTGGACCATACCCAGCCTAAACTTTAGGCTGCATTCTGCGGCATGCAAAACTCAGAAGGCTGTATATAGTGGGAATTTAAAAAAAAAAAAAAAAAAAAAAAAAGACCCTTACCAACTGTAGTAGTTTAAATTTACCATAGAATGGGACTGCAAATACAAAGTATAGGGAATACCTCATATATCATGGGGTGGTGATGAAGATGTTTTTTATTGGCACTGTCTGCATGCTACTTAACCACTAGGCAAAGCTGCTGCTTTATAGGAAGAAGTGAGAACTCCACAGGGCGCCCCCCACCAAAAAAAAAAATCACAGTAAAACAGCCACTCTGGAAGTAGCTGGCTTCAATTTTCAGTTCCCTACTTTCTACACTGCTACAGCAATTCAGGCTTGGAAGGGCTGTAGTAATGTCCTAAGTGGACCGAGTGTGAAACAGGTGTCTTACACTGAGGAAAAAAAAAAAAAATCACCTAACAACCTAGCTCTTCACTAGGAACTGGATACTCTAACCCCAAATCCTGCAGAAAGCAGACTTCATGCCTCCTAATTGTCTTTCTAAAGCTGGTTGTGAGCTCCATATTTCCATTGTTTTTGTTTTGGAAACTATCCCAAAACACTCGGTGATTGCTGGAGGTGAAAGGCGAGACTCTTCAGCCAACAAGCTACCGTTACCTGGCTGACAACTGTGTAAACTAATAGGGAGAATTGTTTTCTACTGTCATGTTGATGTCTTTAAAATTCTTTCCTGGTTAACATCTGTCTGCCTGGAAAGATTCTTTCTTTTCCCCCCCACCTCCACTGAGGGCATTAGGGGTGAGTACATTGACCTCAGTGCTTCCTCCACCCTCCTTCCCACAACATACAGCAATTTGGCAGGACAAAGTCAAATTCCATGTAGAAATGTATTACTGCTTGAGATTTCAGAGCACATGTTATGCAGCTGTGGACATCATTTTATTCTTGATAATCCATCTGTTCAGACTTACTGTACCTCTTTTCTTGAACTTTTGACACTGCATAGAGCAAACATCAGTGCATAATATGAATGCATTAGACACACTGAAATTGCATGCTACAACAAAACACACAATTTGGTGTAGTAAAGAATGATTTGCAAGTGTAAAAGAAAACAAATGTTCAGTCATTAGTGCATATATGCCTTACTGTATATGTACAGAGAATACATTATAGTACAATCATGAAAAGGTTTTATGGCTGGAGTTTGAGATTAATGAATTACACACAAGGATGCTTATCAGCATCCTATCTAAGATAATTTTATTTCAGTGTCTGTAACTCATAATATAGATATTCTAGGTTACTCTGGATTTTGCACTTCAGAACTCCTGCTTCTGTTAGACATGCAAAAGCAAATTTTTGTTTGAGGTTAAATTCAAGAAAACTCGCTTTGATTTATAAGACATTTTCCATGAATACATATTAACACTTTGATGTTCTTTTCAAGGTATCCTTTGTGTGGCTGACCATTGTCATGGTTTACGTGAGTTGGCACTGAACTACCATCTCTTGAGTGATGAGCTTCTGCTTGCTTTGTCTTCTGAGAAACATGTCAGATTAGAACATCTGCGCATTGATGTAGTCAGTGAGAATCCTGGACAGACTCACTTCCACACAATTCAGAAGAGCAGCTGGGATGCTTTCATCAAGCATTCTCCCAAAGTAAACTTAGTCATGTACTTTTTCTTATACGAAGAGGAATTTGACCCATTCTTCCGTTATGAAACCCCTGTCACCCACCTTTACTTTGGGAGGTCAGTAAGCAAAGATGTACTTGGTCGTGTTGGAATGTCATGTCCTCGATTAGTTGAACTGGTTGTGTGCGCCAATGGATTACGGCCACTAGATGAAGAACTTATTCGTATTGCAGAACGCTGTAAGAATCTGTCAGCTATTGGCCTAGGGGAGTGTGAAGTCTCGTGCAGTGCCTTTGTTGAGTTTGTGAAGATGTGTGGTGGCCGCCTCTCTCAGCTGTCTATAATGGAAGAAGTCTTGATTCCTGATCAGAAGTACAGCTTGGAGCAGATTCATTGGGAAGTGTCAAAGCATCTTGGTAGAGTCTGGTTCCCAGACATGATGCCCACATGGTAAAGTCCTTAAAGACTTCAGGGCATGTGAAATAGCACCTTACATTTGAGAATACCATATTGCAACTTATCACAAGCTTATTTAATATTATAATTTTTATTGTAATGTCACTGCTTTGATTAGAAAATTGATGCCATGTTTAGCACTAATTTCTGAAATCCACATTTTCTATGCTTAAATCTGGATATTCCAGAAACCACTTTCATTCTAATAAAATTAGTCTGTTTTAGGTTTTCTCACTTTGCCATTGACAAGGACCCTAAAGTTATGTAAATAATAAAATTTGAAAACCCTGACATATTTAAAAGTTGTGGTTGCAAAATATTAGCTCCGAATTACAATATTTTATCTGTTACTTTGATATAGATATTAATAGTGAACAGACTGATTTGTATTGACTTACAAAGGGAGGTAAGATGGAATGTTTTTACTGCAGACTATAGCAGTTACCTAGTGTTTAAATGACATGAACTGCCTGAACTACAGAATTTTAAGATTACATGGAGCATTTAGTAGGCTATGAAACTCATACATTACATAGTAGTAAATTAAGAGGCAAGACAACAGAAGTCTTGTTTAGACACTTTAAAAATATTAAATTAGCTACTTGTTTAATTTCTGATTAGTAATTTGCACACAATGTATTTTATAGATGAGGGTTACCAAAAGCTTTTTTCTCCATTTTTCTACTGTAAACTTGACATTTCTAGGGTCTTCAGAGCCATTTCTAGGGTCTTCAGAGCCATTTCTAAACTTGTTTTAAAATATTAATTATAGCTCAGAAAGCTGAAGCATTCTGGAAGAAATTGTAGATATACTATATTTTGACACTGGTTGGAATTGATGGGCTTTTCTCAAAAGTTAAAACCAGTCTTACAGCATTTGATTAGCTGGAGTACTGCATAAATTTCTAGATAAGAGGAAGCTAAAAACGTGCAGAGAAATGTTGAATGTAATAATGGCTGTTTAAGTAAAGAAAATAGAGCGGAGTGAACACTGAACATTTTAAAAGGAGTCTAAGGAGCCATTTGACCAAAAAAAACATCATGGAAGACCCATTAACTGCTTGCAAATTTAAGAGAAAAATGGCTTTGTAACTAAGTTGCCTAAACTATATAAATTGCTATTCTGTCAATCTAGCTTCAGAAATGTTCATATATGAAGTGAATGTTTGATAGCTATCCATTTTTTGTATTCCTTTATTTCAACTAGTTTCAGATCATTTCATATTTAAAACTCAGAGCATCATACCTGTGTGAAATAGAGCAATATGCAGAAATTAGATGTACAATTTCACAAAAGTACAACTTATAAATTGTTTTGATCAAAGAAAATGTTAGCCTACAGTGAACTTCGCTGGTGGCATGCTTTCCATTTTTGGCTTGTACAGTTAGTTCTTGTAATAAATTAAGTAGATTTTGTTTATTTCTAATGTTCATTTTGCTCCAAATGTATAGTTTGAGGATAAACTGAAATTTATAATTTGGGCATATTTAACTTTATGTTTTTGAGCAAGCATTACTCAGTGGACTGACATCTTAACAGTAAAGCTATATGTTTCTGTAGAGGCTTGTGATTAAGAATCATTCTATTGAGTAGGCAATTTTTTGTATTAGAATTTGTTAAAATATAGCACTGAAATTGCTTTTATTTGTACAACTGTGTCAATATACTTTAGTCTTTGTAAAAGAACCATGTTAAGTTTGGTGTTTTTAATACTTGATTTTTTTTTTGCCTTCATTTGTGTAAATGGTCTTTGACACTGGTACTTCACATGGTCACAGTCTGAACGGTGATCCTAGAATGCCATTACAAGATTTTCTAGAGAATAATTGTTACTAGTGATTACTTCAAGCATGCATGTGACAGAATCTCTTCCAGTAATGTGACTAAAGCCATGTTTGGAGAGGTGAGCGATGCAGGAGTAGGGCCAAATCCCGCTGGTATTGTATGACTAGGGTAAGCGGTATTGGCCACTACTTACTGCATTGGCTGAGAATACCTGTGTGTGGAAAGTAAACAATTAACTTACTCCCCAGTCACCTCAAAGTGTTGCCTCATCACTAGGAATTTATCCATTTGAGCTTCATCATTCTGCTTCATACATGCTCTTGATTATTGGATCCTGAGGAGAAAAGATGCAAGTAGAGCAGAGGTGGACAAACTACAGCCCGTGGGCCACATCCGGCAGGTGAGACCGTCCTGCCCGGCCCTTGAGCTCCCGGACGGGGAGGCTGGCCCCATCCCCTCCCCTGCAGCTTTGCTGCTGCGCGGACAGCGCGGTTGTGCGCTCCTGCCTGGCAGCATGGCTGGCTCCGGCCGCATGGCGCGGCTGCCAGATATACTGCTCTGAGCGGCATGGTAAGGGGACCGGGGTGGTTGGATATGGGGTGGGGGCAATCAGGGAGCAGGGGGTGGTTAGATGGGGCAGTCAGGGGATGGGGGGGTTGGATAAGCGTGGGAGTCCTGGGAGTTGGGGGGGGCTATCAAGGGGCAGAGGTGTGGATAGGGGTCAGCAGTCAGGGGACTGGGAGCAGGGGGGGTTGGATGGGTAGGGGGTTCTGAAGTGGGAGGGGTTGGGGGGCCAGGCTGCTTGAGGAGGCACAGCCTTCCTTACCCGGCCCTCCATATAGTTTTGCAACGCCACTGTGGCCCTCGGGCCAAAAAGTTTGCCCACCCCAGAAGCAGAGGGAGGCTCCAAAAGTATAATTAAAAGTGAATTGCCCCCAAGCTGAGTTAATTTTTCATCCTATGCAATTATAAAGAGAAGAGTGAAATGGGGGGGGGGTGTTTTTGTTTTGTTTAAATGAAGGTGGATAAAACAATGCATACATAAACCACTCCAGATAGTGTCCTATCTCAATCAAAATCAAACAGTATTGGTATAAAAATGATTAATAGTATTTTAGTATTGTAATAGTATCAACCTTAAAGCAATGTTGGTCGAAAAAGGGAAACACTTTGAAGTAGACAAGGGCTTCCACTGAAAATGTTCAGCCCACGGTCAAAGTGGTGACAAAACATTCTCAGTTACATCTGAGCCATGTCTGGCTCCCTGATTGGTTGTCTTCAGGAAACACTAAAACTTTCATTTTCAAAACAGTCTTCCCTCATAAGTATGAAATTCATATATTTACCCACACTTCTACCCCAAAAACACACCCACCTGAAACATCAACTCATTTAAAAACAAAAAAACACCATACCTCAAAGGGAGTAGGGCTTGTCTCCCAGGAAGTCCACTGGAAATGTTGCTACTGATTTTATATTGAAGATGTTTATAATCTGGTTTAGCAATATTGAGGGTCATTTTCTGCTACTTTCAAAGTGTATATGACTACTTCAAACTTCTACCTCAAGTTTACTTTTTGTAGGAGTTGACTTAAATGCTTCAAACATTTGTTTAATTTACAAACAAGTTGCATATACTCAAATGCTAGAATATTAAGTAATCTAGGTCAATTTGTAGCAACACTAAAATGTCTCTTACATTGTCATATCACTATTATCTGTAACTTGAAGGTTTTGGACATGTTAGCTAAATTCACCAACTCCATTTACTTTGCTGGAATTAACAGCATTAAACTTGCCCTCTTTGTATTTTCAGTAGGTCTAGTTAATGAAGCAAAGCAAAGCTTTGGTCATTTTGGACTATATCTCAGTAAAACAAGCCAGCGTTCAAAGCTTCCAGAGTGCAATTGCCATGCATTGTGCCAAATGGTGGCATGTGACACACTAGGCTACCTACCCATGGTGCATCACACTTTGGCTCAGCACGGCATGTACTTACCAGGAGTGCTTGTGTCGATGCAATCAGCCAAGCATGCACACCAACAAGCTCTAGACTAACTTTGGCAGCTGTACACCACTGTAACTTGTATCAACCAAAGTTTGTAGTGCAGACATGACCCAATATAGAGTGGTCAGATAGTGTCTAGGCTGTGGAAACATCTCAGCTGGCAGGTTTTGCCCTGCCACTGACTGAACGGTCAGATATTCCTCCAAAGCTGCATAAAGCAGAGACCCCCCAACATCATGGATCTGTGGCCCTCCTTGCTCCAAGGGAAATGTTCATGTTCCCAGCCTAGCCTGCTCCAACCAGACTTAATGAAAGACAGGGAGGCAAGAGTAGAGTTTCAAACTGGTGAATTCTTGGTGTTTGCCTACAAACAAAAGAAAGCATTCACTAAAGAGTCAGTTCACTAAACAGAAGTAAGGTCTTATCTAGCCTAAGTTCAATAACTGGTGTAGCTGTGCTGCTGCTACTTCTTTTCACCCCTCAGCTCAGAACAAACGGAGGGATAGCTCAGTGGTTTGAGCATTGGCCTGCTAAACCCAGGGTTGTGAGTTCAATCCTTGAGGGGGCCACTTAGGGAACTGGAGTAAAAATCTGTCTGGGGATTGGTCCTGCTTTGAGCAGGGGGTTGGACTAGATGACCTCCTGAGGTCCCTTCCAACCCTGAGATTCTATGATCTTCACTGGCAGAGTATACCCCACATTTCAAGCTTTCCTTGGCCAGGTATGTTGCTGGCTTTTAATTGATGGGCAGGGGAGGAAAATCATGTGTGTTGTTTAGAAGCCTATGTTTAGGCTCTCATTATTTTTTAATCTTGGCCTTTATCCACAATAGGGTTTTGCATTGATGCAACACAGCTTGTTGGACACAGGATCAGGATTTATGTGGCTCACAGGAATATGCAGAGTAGTTACAGTAAATGCAACTGTTTTATCAAGGATATTAAACCCTCATGCTTTAGGCCTCTCAGGGGGAGAATGAGTTTTCCAGGAAGCTGGTTATCCTATAGCTGCCTGCTGCAGGATGTCTCTGAAGCATCTGGGACTAGCCTTTAAAGTGACTGGATGAGGTGGACCACTAGTCTGACAACTGTATTGTTATACTATGTTCCTATATTGCTGAAATTAGTGCTAATCACCCCTAAGGCCTAAACAGAGGAGACAAATTGAAAGATCAAAGGAGAAGAAAGGCAGGGGTGGATAATGTGGGAGTCATCTGTAACTGGTTGTTGGTTCTCAACCTCTCCCCTTTCCTGGGCAGTTCCATACAGAAGGAAGCCATCCTTTGCTAGAAGCTCCCTTAAGCTCGGGCAGAGCCAGTCAAGCTGTTCTCCTTGAGGATCCTATAGGCTGGTAAGCAATGGAAGTGAGGAGAGATGTCCACTGTTCCTCCCCCTAGTAACACACCTGATTTAAATACAAGATTTTAAAAGTAATAGTGTACTGCTCAAGGAACACACTTTAAATTCATCCTTAAATACGTATTTTCTTCTTAAACTGTCACCCTCAGTGGGCAATGGACTGGACACAGCTACTTTAAACCAAGTGATGTCCCACCTGATTGTGGCCTTCATGCCGCAATTTGAAAACACTATCTTATAGTTTAAAAGACAACCTTCAAAATGTTACCCAATGTAATTATTTCTATGTATAGCTTTAGACAATAGCTCTAAAATGTGTGAATTGCTCCTATTCATGCTAGAGTCTACTGAACATAGTTGGCACCACTAACTTTTATTTGCTAGTCTCTAGAGTAGAATCATCAAGCTAACTGTACTATTATTGGAGGCAGTGGCAGATACTGAGTGAAGCAGCTACTTTGGAATCAACATGCCCCACTCCAAACCTGCTTCCCCCCCCCCCCCCCCCCCAAAAAAAAAAAAAGATGTAGTGCTTCCATGTACCAAACATCAACTACCTTGGGCTTGCAACCTCCTCCTATGGGCCAAAAATTCTAGCTATCAGTCTCTAGTTTTTACTTGGCAAGTTCTGTAATACATTTCACTGATTGATTGCCTTAAATTTTCTAGGTCTTCTACAATGTAAAAATATACTGAATGTTAGGGGAAAGTGTAGTAATTGTAGCAGTCAGAGGGAGACGGTGCTGTATAATTCAGGTCTAACAGGGGCTCTTATAATCGTACCCTGGCAGCTCTACCACCACTGCTATGTTAGCATATTCCATAGCAGAGTGTTCATTTACATGAAAGGAATAATGCTACCCACTGCTATTAAACCCAATATTTTAATATTTATTAACAATTTACAAGTTTTGATGTTGCTTCTGTAATCAGTCACTTGTTCCAAATGTTATGCTTATAAGAAGCACCCGGGATCTTTTTCAGGAGAAAAGGCAATACGCTGCGTTTACTGGAGATACAACAATTAGCATATGCATTCAATCACACACACACTGTCCCGCCAGTCGATGTTATAGTTACCAGTCCAGAGTCCGGAGCAACCTAGCGGCCATCTAGGTTGATGATGGGTAGGGAGGAGCTGGGTTCTGTTGGTCGCAACATGATACTCTGGGGAAGTCTTGGCAGGACGAACCCAAAGTTTCATGGCAAAGCACCCTGTTTATATAATAATATTTCTTCATAGGGACCAATGAATTTTGCACCGTCATGCTGTACTCTATCGCCGTTTGACGAGTGCTTGTTTTCTTAAATTGTTCTTCTCATCTTTATCTTGGTTCCTTCATCAGTCTCTTGGGGAGTTACCCCATGCTGGTTTTGATCATAGCTATCTTGTCCCGATTGATAGGTGCCTGCTTCATCTTTAGAGTCGTCAATCTGCCCTCCTTTGACATCTCAGTAGGGGCATGTTGCAATCTCCTGGCACCTTTACATCTGTTCTTGGTTCCTCCCAAGCACATCTGGTCTGGTGATGGCCTTCACACTTATCTTCTAACACACACTTTCCTCATTCACACACAAAACAGGATTGATTTACACAGAACATTTGAACAGGAACATCAAATTGCAATGCAGGAGAAAACAATCATTGCATTCTTTTACTTATTTCAAAATGCTAATTTTAAACCTACAACAAAGTGGTAAAGGTCTATTACTGCCTTGAAATCAGCTTCAGACAAGATTCTGGCTGATGCATCTTTACCAATGGCACACTAGGCCATTACTTTCTGGTTTCAGAAAGGGTGGCTGGCAGAATATGGCTAAATCATATCGTACATCAATACATATAATACATGCTTTATCCTTCATTCTAAATTATACAAAATACAACCATAAAATCCTAGTACTACACAAACCGACTGCAAGCTCAAATTAGATGTGCTTTTTCCTCTTCCATCAATACCCACTTCAGCAGGTTACCAACAGCCAAGTGTTCAGATGCTAACTCCCTAGAACGATAGTCAGATTTTGCACACTTAAAAAAAAATGATGCAGCCTGCAAGGTGTTAGACTGGAAACAGTGCCCTCCCCAGCTATTAAAGAATTACAGCTGAAAAAGCATCACTAAAAGCTTCTCTACAGTCACTAGCAAATCCAGAGCTGCAGAGGACCTACTGCTGGATATCCCAAAATAATGGTCTGTTCCCATTTAATACTCACTGCTCTAACTGGAATGGTACCTTTAATGCAGATATCTGTCCACTGCAGCCTGTGTAGTCAGTGACATGCATATTAAGCAGGCTATTAAAAAACACTAGTACCTTTAATACTTATAAAAAATAATGTTAAATAATTAAGATTTATCAATATTTTAGCTAAATATGGCTCCTACAGCTCTCTACAAGAGAATCCATCTCTTGCATATGAAAAATACTTAAGTATAATACCTTTAAAAAAGCCATACAAGTGCTGTGGTCCTTAGGACTATGGTACATTGATCTTGATCTTATTTATGCCTAAATCAGGCTTTTTTTAAAGAGGTATGTTAGAATTTTAGTAGTAAGATTATGCATCAAGACTTCTAGCAGTACTCTGACAGCCACTAATAACTGTACCTATTCTTGAAGGTGTTGTGGGTTCTTTTACAAAAATGAATTAATGCTCTTTTGTTTCATATTTCTTCAACTCTGTGAATATGGATTTTTGAAGGCATCACAGCTGGCCAAATTCCTTCACAAACAGCAAGCTTAAGTGGAAATAAATCTCAGGCACAGACCTGAAAAATCTCATTTACTTTGGGTTAAATTGAGAAGAAAATAATCATTACTATAGCCCTTTGATGGTGAAGGACCCTAGCAGGGACCATGGAGTACCATTTAAAGTGTGTATGTGGGGGGTGTCAGAGATTTCCCCCCTCTCAGGTGCCCCTCTCCCTACTCTTTCCCCCCACACCTTATCACACTGACCCATGATCCCCATCCTGTCCAATCTGAGTTAATAGCATTGAGACCCTGTGTGTAAGGTCGCAGCTCCACTCACGTTCAGCCCAGCCACCCCTCCATCATGAGCGAGTGGAGTTGTGACTTGGCCACTCACGTTTGGTCTAGCCAAAAGTGGTTGGGCTATGGCCTCGGTGGCCCTCCTCACTCCCCAGAGCATAAGAACGGCCGTACCGGGTCAGACCAAAGGTCCATCTAGCCCAGTATCCTGTCTGCCAACAGTGGCCAATGCCAGGTGCCCCAGAAGGAGTGGACCTAACAGGCAATGATCAAGTGATCTCTCTCCTGCCATCCATCTCCATCCTCTGACAAACAGAGGCTAGGGACACCATTCCTTACCCATCCTGGCTAATAGCCATTAATGGACTTAACCACCATGAATTTATCCAGTTCTCTTTTAAATGCTGTTATAGTCCTAGCCTTCACAACCTCCTCAGATAAGGAGTTCCACAAGTTGACTTTGTGCTGCATGAAGAAGAACTTCCTTGTATTTGTTTTAAACCTGCTGCCTATTAATTTCATTTGGTGACCCCTAGTTCTTGTATTATGGGAATAAGTAAATAACTTTTCCTTATCCACTTTCTCCACATCACTCATGATTTTATATACCTCTATCATATTCCCCTTAGTCTCCTAGCCTCTTTAATCTCTCCTCATATGGGACCCGTTCCAAACCCCTAATCATTTTAGTTGCCCTTTTCTGAACCTTTTCTAGTGCCAGTATATCTTTTTTGAGATGAGACCACATCTGTACGCAGTATTCAAGATGTGGGCGTTCCATCGATTTATATAAGGGCAATAATATATTCTCAGTCTTATTCTCTATCCCCTTTTTAATGATTCCTAACATCCTGTTTGCTTTTTTGACCGCCTCTGCACACTGCGTGGACATCTTCAGAGAACTATCCACAATGACTCCAAGATCTTTTTCCTGACTTGTAGCTAAATTAGCCCCCATCATATTGTATGTATAGTTGGGGTTATTTTTTCCAATGTGCATTACTTTACATTTATCCACATTAAATTTCATTTGCCATTTTGTTGCCCAATCACTTAGTTTTGTGAGATCTTTTTGAAGTTCATCACAGTCTGCTTTGGTCTTAACTATCTTGAGCAGTTTCGTATCATCTGCAAACTTTGCCACCTCACTGTTTACCCCTTTCTCCAGATCATTTATGAATAAGTTGAATAGGATTGGTCCGAGGACTGATCCTTGGGGAACACCACTAGTTACCCCTCTCCATTCTGAGAATTTACCATTAATTCCTACCCTTTGTTCCCTGTCTTTTAACCAGTTCTTAATCCATGAAAGGACCTTCCCTTTTATCCCATGACAGCTTAATTTACGTAAGAGCCTTTGGTGAGGGACCTTGTCAAAGGCTTTCTGGAAATCTAAGTACACTATGTCCACTGGATCCCCGTTGTCCACATGTTTGTTGATCCCTTCAAAGAACTCTAATAGATTAGTAAGACACGATTTCCCTTTACAGAAACCATGTTGACTATGGGCCCTAGCATGATTTGTGTTGGCTAGTCAGTTCCAATCCTTCTTTAATTTGTGTAAGAAACTTACATTGGATCTGAGGGGAGCCAGCCTTATCTATGCTTTGTTTAGTAATTCTGGTAAGGTGTCAGGCTGTCCAAAAGCAAAACAAAAACAAACACCACCACCACCTTCTAACAAAGGAGTCATCAACATGACAGCTATAATCTACCAACAGCTCTCAACCCATTTCCATGTCTGCTGACTTCATCATGTTCCAGGACAACTGGTCCCAGTTCCATCAAATATGAAATGTACAGTGTTCCAACGGGTAGAAGGTACATTTTTGTTGGAGTCAAGCTAGCAAGCCATTGTGTCTGCTGGTAACCAGCTCCTGTAGACTCCCCTCTTTAAGAAGAAGCAGATGACTGGCAACCATGTGGCCAATGACAGGTCCAAACCCCTTTAGAATTCTGGGGCTGTAATGCAGCTAGCAAGAAAGGGGACTCTTTCTTCACCCAAGGCATATCCATAGAACCTACACCTAATGAAATAATTACAAACCAACCCGTGTATTGTCTTCATTAGGTAAAGGGATCTCTTCATAAGTTATTTTGATGTAAGGGGACTTTATAGGTAAAAGCCAGTAGTCTAAGTTGTAAAAGAGGTAAAACTGGTGGTTTAAGACAACCTGATCTACTATTTTTAAGACATTCAAGAAGAACTCTTCAATAGACTGATGAGATTTGAATGGATAGTAGAAATCTCTTATGGCTGCAGCCACTGTCTTGTTTCCTAAAGGTCCAAAAATAGATGTTTCATTCCCCAAATAAATGGGTTCTCCAGTAAACAAAGTAATGCTGGTATAATTTGTTTGTATCTTATTAAATACAGCCCCTAAATCGGCCAACTTCTGGTATGTTCTTAATATAAATTTCGAGCATTCATAAGATTCAAACCACACTACCGCATGCTTGTCAGGACTTGCTTGAACTGTCCAGGTTTCATAGTATATCCCAGTTTCGTTGTCATATTGTACCCATTTTGCCATTTGGTTAAACATTGTTCCTGTAAAAAATAGAAATAGGATATGTCCATAAGCATTATGGAAAACAATACTGACAAATCCAGACAATTCATAGATTACAAGGCTAGAAGGGACCTTTGTGATCATCTAGTTTGACCTCGTGTATAACACAGGCCATAGAACTTCCCCAAAATAATTCACGATGAGCATGCCTTTTAGAAAAACATCCAAACATCATTTAAAAATGGCCAGTGCTGGAGAATCCACCACAACCCTTGGTAAATTGTTCCAATGGTTAATTACTAAGGCTATGATTTTGTCATGGAGGTTGTAGAAGTCATGGAATCCTTGACTTCCAAAGACCTCTGTGACTTCAGCCCCGACGGCTGGGAGCTGCAGGGTCCTGCTGCCTCCCGCAGCGGCAGGGAGCTGTGAGGTACTCTCACCACCTGAGGCAGTGGGTCCTCAAGCTCTGAGCCGCCATGGGCAGCGGGGGTACCCCGCAGCGTCCCGCTGCCGGGGAGGGGGCAAGGGGACCCTGCAGCTCTCTGCCCCACGGGTGGTGGGGTCCCAGAGCTCCTAGCCACCCTACAGCTGCCCAGCCCCTTCCCATTTTATCATGGATATTTTTAGTAACAGTCAGGGACAGATCATGGGCTTCTGTGAATTTTTCTTCATTGCCCCTGACCTGTCTGAGTTTTACTAAAAATATTCATAACAAAATCTTAGCCTTATTAATTACCCTCACTGTTAAAATTTACACCTTATTTCCAGTCTGAATTTGTCTAACTTAAACTTCCAGCCATTGGATTATGTTATACCTTTCTCTGCTAGACTGAAGAACCTGTTATTAAACATTTATTCCCCATGTCAGCCCTTAACTTTCTCTTTGTTAAGCTAAATAGATTGACCTTTTTGAGTCTATTACTATCAGGCACGTTTTCTAATCCTTTATTCATTCTCATGGCTCTTCTCTGAACTCTCCAATTTATCGACATCCTTCTTGAATTGTGGGTGCCAGAACTGGACACAGTATTCCAGTAGTGATCACACCAGTGCCAAATACAGAGATAGAATACAGGGATATAGATAGAGGTAAAATATAAGGTTATAAAAACAGAGGTTCCACTATTTATGCATCTTAGGATTGCATTAGCTCTTTTGGTCACAGCATCACATGGGGAGCTCACATTCAGCTGTTTATCCACCATGACCCCAAATCTTTTCCGGTGTCACCGCTTCCCTCATCATGTAAGTACAGCCTACGTTCTTTGTTCCTAGATGTATACATTTACATTTAGCCATATTAAAATACACATTGTTTGCTTGCACACACTTTACTAAGCAATTCAGATCACTCTGAATCAGTGACCTGTCTTCATTATTTATCACTCCCGCTATTTTTGTGTCTACAAACTTTATCAGTGATGATTTTATGTTTTCTTCCAGATAATTGATAAAAATATTAAATAGTGTAGGGCCATGAACCTATCCCTGTGGGATCCTACTGGAAACACACCCACTCAATGTTTTCCTATTTATAATTATATTTTGAGACCTATCAACTAGACAATTTCTAATCAATTTAATGTGTGCACGTTAATTTTATATCATTCTAGTTTTTAATCAAAATGTCACATGGTGCCAAGTCAGATGCCTTACACAACTCTAAGGGCTTGTCTTCACTACTGTGCTAAATTGGCCGCTGCTGCAGTCTTGCGCTTCTCATATCTATTCAAATGCTCTTGCAAAGACCCTTTTCCTAGCCTGTTCCTTGACCACATCACCTCTCTCTTCCATCCCTCCACTGCATCCCCTTTCTCTATTGCATCAAATACAAGCTGCTGATTTTCATTTGTAAAGCCTTTAACTGTCTATCCCTACTCTACCTAGCCATCTCTCATTCACTAGCCTCTAATTGGCCCATGATGCCAGCATCCATCACTCACTTGTTAAATTTTCAAATAAGCACCTGTGCTTTCTCCCATGCTGCCCTTCACTGTTTCAGAGGGGCTCCCCATACACACCCAAAAAGCCACTTCATTGTTCTCCTTCAAATCCTTCCTTTAAAAAAGCACCTTTGCCCCAAAGTCTACAACAAACTTGACAATGGTTTGCTGAGACCACTGCCTATCATACTGACCAATATTGTCTCATTGTTTCCTTGTACTCCCCTGTCTGTCTGTATCCACCTGTTTTCTCCTGTTTGTACTTAGATTGGAAGCTCTTTGGGGCAGGAACTGTCTTTTCGTACTGTGTTTGTACAGAACCTAGAGCAATGAGGTCCTCCTGAGCCATAACTGGGGCTCCATAGCTGCAATACAACCAACAACAATCCTATTCTTTTATCACTGTTGGTTGAATTTTTGGAACTGCCTATGTTCAGGTTCATAATACAGCAAGTCATAAATCCTGTATTAACAACCACCCTGCCCTTGTATGCTGCACAGAGAGGAATTTTAATTACACTTCATATTCTTGGAGTGTACTGCAGTGTATATCATGGGATGGCGTTTCCCTCTCTTCACAAGACTGGGATTTTTATCGTTAAATAAAAAGCACTGGCCGCAACAAACAACTTATTAAAAGATTATGCACGAACTGGGCATGCAATTGAAATTATAAAATTATCTTCTTTACTTTTTTAATGTTTCAAAACACATGTCCTTACTAACAACTCTGTGCCCCTTTAAAGTGATTTTCAAATATTACAAAATGTCAAATCGCCAAAACTGGCACAAGCTACTCAAAAAATGTTCAAACCTACCCGCTGAAGAAATTCAACCCACACACATTTCTTACTAAGTTAAGGTCTCAGGGAGTAAAAGTGCCATGCAGTATTTTCTGAAGGTCAACACACGCCGTCGTCAGAGCAATGAAGAAAGTGATTTCCAGAGCATTCTCCTATCACAGTGAAAATACCAGAAAGCCACAATTGCACAAGAAATTCTGTGGTGTTAGGAGCCCAAAACTGCAGACTCTTGGTAGTGCTGATTTGCTTAGTTTTTGCAGGATTGGGCCCCAAGGTCATCAAGACCAAAACTTACAAGAAGGTCCTACAGAGGTCTGTCCTGGGTCTGACACTATTCAATATTTTCGTTAATGATTTGGATGATGGAGTGGAGATTATGCTTATAAAATTTGTGGCTGGCACTAAAGGGGAGGGGTTGTAAACACTTTGGAGGACTGGATTAGAATTCAAAAATGATACTGATAAATTGCAGAACTGGTCTGAAATCAATAAGATGGAATTATCTAAAAGACAAGTGCAAAGTACTAAACTTCACAACTCAAATTCACAAATACAAAAATGAGGAATAACTGGGTAGGCAATAACACGGCAGACAAGGATCTGGAGATTATATTATATCACAACTGAATATAAATCAACAATGGGACAAGTGCAAAAAAGGTTATGTAATTTTGGGAGATATTAAGAAGGTGTCAGATACAAGACCTGGAAGGTAATTGTTCCATTCTACTCAACTCTGGTGGGGCCTCAGCTGGAGTACTGCTTCCAGTTTTGTGCAGCACACTTTAGATAGATATGTACAAATTGGAGAAAGTCCAAAGAGAGCAACAAAAACGATAAAAGGTTTAGAAAACCCAATCTGTGAAGAAAGGTTGAAAGAACTGATAGTCCTGGGGAAGTTCTGCACAACTGCGGCGCAGCAGAAAAATCCACACACACACACACAGAGATTCTCTTTGCTTCCTTGCAGAAAATGGATTCTGTGGGGAAGCAAAAAGAAGTTGCACCAGTACTCACTCATCCCTCCCTGGCAGCTCAGATGCCTCTGTTCTGTCACTGGGAGAAGGGAGGATCTGGGATGTCCTGGCCGCCCAGGGACATTAGTCTCAACTGGGGAGGGAGGCAGGGGGAGGACGGAGATGCAGTTCCCCCTTCCCTGCACGGAGCAGCCAGGCTAGGTCAGATCAAACCCCAGAAACTTCCCCTGGCTGCAGGAAGCTCTGCACCATGGGTGGGTGTGTGTGGGTGTGTGTCTGGGTGCGGGGGTCCAGGTCATCCCACTTAACAGCTGCACCCTGACCCCCCCACACCAAGCCCCACTCTCTCCCCCACACACACACACTGAGCCCTAACCAGTTTCACCTGGACTAGCCTAGAGTCCCATCCCCCCTGCATCCAGAACCCCGCACTGAGCTGCCTGCACCCAGATTGTGCCACACAGAAGCCTGGCACTCTTGAGGGAATTCTGCACCAAAAAATTAAAATTCTGCAATGTTCTGCATATGGTGCGGGGGGGTGGAGGGGAATGGGACTCAGGGTAGGAGGTTGGGGTACAGGAGGGGTGTGGCAGGGGACTCAGGGCAGGGGGTTGGGTGCAGGAGGGATGGGGGTGAAGCAGGGGGCTCAGGGCAGGGGGTTGGGGTGCAGGACGGGGCTCAAGGCAGGGGGTTGGGGTGCAGGAGGGGTTTGGGGTGCAGGCTCCAGCCTGGTACCACTTACCTTGAGCGACTCCGGGGTGGCAGCGGTGCACAGCGGGGCTAAGGCAGGCTCCCTGCCTGCCCTGGCCCCGCGTCGCTCCCGGAAGTGGCCTGCATGTCCGGCAGTGGCTCCTGGGGGTGGGGCTTAACTGCACGCTGCCCTCGCCTGCAGGTTCTACCCCCGAAGCTCCCATTGGCCACGGTTCCCCGTTCCCAGCCAATGGGAGCTGCGGGTGGCAGTGCCTGCACAGAGCCCTCGGCCCCCCCTCCTCCAGGGGCCGCAGGGACGTGGTGTCGGCCGCTTCTGGGAGCGGTGCAGGACCAGGGCAGGCAGGGAGCCTGGCTTAGCCTCGCTGTGCCACGGGGCTGGCAGTCCCGCAGGACGGATTGAAAGCCCTAACGGGCTGGATCCGGACCACGGGCCGGATCCGGACCACGGGCCATAGTTTGCCCTCCCCTGCACTAAGTAGTAATGACCACAATACAATTAGATTCAACATCCAATGGGGAAGTCAGGTACCAAAACCCAACATAATTACACTAAACTTTAGAAAGGAGTATTTCAATAAAAAGGAGGAGACTAGTCAAAAATGCCCTAAAGTTAAAAGTAAAGGCAGTTAAATCCTTAGATATGGCATAAGGAAACAATAGCAGAGTCTCAGAAGGAATATATCCCTCGGCCCGCGCAGCTTCCTGCAGCCCCCATTGGCCTGGGACGGCGAACCGTGGCCAGTGGGAGCCACAATCGGCTGAACCAGTGAACGCGGCAGGTAAACAAACCGGCCCGGCCCGCCAGGGTGCTTACCCTGGCAAGCTAAGTGCCAGAGGTTGCCGATCCCTGAATTAGGAAGTAAGAGGTCATCATGGGGGGGCAGATTATCCCACATCTCCCTACTGTAGGTTTTTTGCACCTGCTTCTGAAGCACCTGTTGCTGACCATTGTCAGAGATAGGAAATTGGAGTAGATAGACCATGGACCTGATCCTGTCTGGCAATTCCTATCTACACCCAATTTGCACATGTACATATGATTATACAAGACACATGGTAAGAGAGATTCAAGTCAAAGATGTATGAGTGTCATCAACATGCTGCAGCAGTAGAACCCAAACCATCTGACTGTCTCCCCAAGCAGATTCACATATGTGCCAGAGAACAGGGAAAATGGAATGGAGTCAAGGATTACACTTCACAAAAGTCCCTTGGGAAAATGAGCAACCTGCCAAAACTACACTATAGCATCTCCCCAAGAGGAAAGTACCTCACAAGTAATATTCTAACCACTCCTGCTAGGACCTACAGGAAAGGTCAAAAATACATTATGATCAACAGTACCAGAGGCTACCAACAGATCTGAAAGAACTGGTGTGGACATCTGATCAATATGGAGGAGGCCCACGTATTTAATAAGTTACGGCTCTGTCACATTATTTGGGCTGCTTTTTAATTCTTAGCAGCATCGGTCAGATGGAATCTGCAGACTCAAAGGTTGAGGTGCCAAACTGATGAAAATGGAAGGGAACTTAGGTAGAATAACACATCACGTTAGCATCTGAAACACACAGGGCTGTAGTTTTAATCTGATTTTCGCTGCTTAGAAAGAAAAGCAGCCTGTAGAGTGTGCCAGAGCCTTAGCCCGCTAGATGAACATACTGAATACTTCTACACATGTTATTTAAAAGGCAGCAGATTCTTGTATGAGCTTTGCATGCAACTTGTTCAGTATTTATTAAGGAGAGAGTTATTTTTTATTCTAGCATTTCAGTTTCACATTGAGGAGCTGTGATGAGCCCATAATGTAGATTGAACCAAGAAGCTATTTTGGTGAGCTATACAAAAAGACTAAGTATAATAAATACCCCACTTGTCCTGCAGTATGTGATAGATAGGTCTATTACTGCTACTGGGATTATTTGCAGTTTTATGATACAACAGTTGGGGGAAAAAAAGATGAGTGACTGTAGCTGTTCTTGAGAGCATTTCCTGTTATGTCCTACTTATCAGTTCAAGAGCACAACACAATTCTCTCAATTTTTTCCATTTAAAAATTCATCTGCCACTTCACAGCAGGAGGTTGTGTTCCAGCACAAGTGTATGAAAAGAGGCTATTTTTACACTCAAAAGACTCCACTATTCTTGCAGAGGTGCTCATGTGACATACCAAGCAATTTTCACTTAACAGCATCTTTTTAGCATGGCTTGTTCAAAGGACAGTATTACCATATCACTTCCTATATTAAGAAAATTAGAAGAGTAATATTTCAATTTCAAATTAACAGCTTTAATCACTCTGCATTGCAAATGACTCACAAAGAGTGAGTGGAAAGATACTGTCTGACATGAATGTGAGCCTGTCTTAGTACATTATGGTATTAGTGTCACCACAGGATTCTGAAATCTACCTGATATAGTGGTCACCAGAACCAAGGTCCCATTTTCCTTCCAGTGTACATCATCTATTCCTTCATAAAAGCATGCAGCACCCTGATTACACCAGAATGGTGCATCCATGTCAGGCCGGAGATGTGGAAATGTGCAGTTCCCAAGCTGGAAGAGTTCATACCATTCCATTGTGTAGTTTTTGCCAGTTAGAGAGCTCTTGAAGCCAACAGCATCATGCATAATATTCTGAGGAAAGGTCATGAACACAAAGAAAAACAGTTTTGTAGGGCCAACTTCACTTTGCATTACTTACCTACTGTACAGTAGTTTAGAAAATAGGGTTCTGTAAAATGGGATGTACCACGCTAAATTACACAAATATTGATTCACATCATACTTGTCTGTATCCTGCACCGACGTCCATTTGCAGCCTGTAGTAGTGGTAATTAGGAGTTAGATATTCAATCGGAGTTAGGCATCAAACTTCCTCTTATCTCTGCATATCCCCCCTCCAACCTCCCAAATTGTGGACCAAGGATCAACAAATGAAGCTCCTTTTGTGGACCCAATCCTGTACAAAGTAATGTAAACCATTTGAAAACCTCAGTGTTGCCATCTACAAGCATTCAAAAATCATGAGTCAGGCCCCAAAATCATGGAATTACCGTAAAATTCATGCTGTTAACAATAAGTGTTGGATTCAGTTTATTTGCCTTCTCATCTTTTACTCTCTAGAACAGTGGTTCTCAAACTAGGGCTGCCGCTTGTTCAGGGAAAGCCCCTGGCGGGCCGGGCCAGTTTGTTTACCTGCCCTGTCCGCAGGTTCGGCCGATCGCGGCTCCCACTGGCCGTGGTTCGTCACTCCAGGTCAACGGGGGCTGCAGGAAGGGCGGCCAGCACGTCCCTCGGCCCGCGCCGCTTCCTGCAGCAGCGAACGGGAGCCGCGATCAGCCAAACCTGCGGACGCGACAGGTAAACAAACCGGCCCAGCCCGCCAGGGGCTTTCCCTGAACAAGCGGCAGACCTAGTTTGAGAACCACTGCTCTATAGTGCGCATATTTAAGCTTCCCTCTGCAACCATAACAGCTAGATATTTACTTTAAAAAAAAGCAGCTGAGATTCTGTTGCATTCACATGATTCCAGGAGCTGAGGCTTTAAGAGAAACACCATATATTGTGAGACTTGTAATAGAAGTCGAAAGAGTTGGCAACACTGTCAGTGAGTGATCCACAGGGCAGACTGCAGCTTGTTTTTCAGATCAGACAGATATCCATGTTCATACAAAATTTAATTCAAATCAGACTTTGTTTACTGTGAGATCTTACTTCTTCATTTTAAAAAACAAAGCTGTACATGTATAAGATTAACAAGATCTTTCCTACACACTAGCCAGATATTTTGTCATAAAGGACCAATTCAAAGTGTTCTTTGTAAGTGATGTTAAAGTCAATGCAAAAATGCAAATAAATACAAGGTAACGCACACACAATACATTTCCAATCCTTGGTATGTAAGGGCAAAAATACCACATCATGTTCTTTTCCTAATCTGTCTTGAATTACTCCCATAACTCTTGTTTCAAGGTTAGCAGATTTCTAGCCCATAGCCTCCAATATTCCACACAACTATGCTTAAATATTATAATGAATGAAGTCCTACTGTTGACATTTGCTGCTGAATTTAACTGATTTGAAACTAATACATTTTTGTTAAATGAAAACATCACCTTACCAAATGTCTAAGCAGATCCCCATATTTGAATTCCCACACTGGAGCTTGTAATCGATAGACTTCAATGACATCCTCATCCTTCATTGCTGGAATGGGACAGCCAGTAGGACAGAAAGTGTAACGAGCTTGACAATAGGGATCTGTTTTCGGACGGTAATCAAAACGCCTACGTTTAAAAACAAAAGCATGGAAAACTTTCTGTGTTGCTTCAGAGGAAAAGTAGGATGCCACAAAGACATTTATTTTAAGAGCCACTTTCCAAAACAGCCTCTAATGGCCTGATTTTTAGAAGTTCTGAATACCTGGAGCTCCCCTTCAAGTCAATGGGAGCTATGGGTGTGCAGCACCTTTAAAAGTCATAAGACCCCAACCCTGAAAACACGTACACAGATGAGTTAATGGGATTACTCAGGTGCATGTTTGTAGGACTAAGGCTTAAAATTGCATCTTCAATATGTGAGTGCACATAATAACATTTAGATGTCTAATGTGGGAAACAATGTTAATTGCACTGTAATGTACTTGCACTCGCAAGTAACTTGCACACACTACACTGTGGTCACAAGATTAGAGGTTGGTTTAAGATCTGTTTCAAAATTTGGTCCCAAGGGCTTTTCTACACAGGAAATAGCTATTCTGGAATAACCATTCAGCAGTAAGTATTCCACAATAGCACCCCTGTAGACACTATTCTGGAATAAAAGTGACTTTACTCCAAAATAATTACTCTCCTCACAAAGTGGAGTAATTATTCTGAAATGAGATCACTTTTATTCTGAAACAGAGTGTCGATAAAAGGAGTTATTTTGGAATAGCTAAATTATACCACAACAGCTATTCTGGAATAATGATGCCAGCCAATTTCCCCCATATAAAGAAGGCCTAAGAATCTGAAATCCACACATTTCTTCCAGAGATTTTCAGCTCTCCCATTAAACCTCATTCTAGGTAATCATACCTTGTTTTCAAAATAACTGAAAAAACAGACTCTACATGTACAGTACTATCAATATAGACCATAAAACCATGATTTCTCCACTTCAAAAGTTCTCCAACGACCTTCAAATTCTACTCTAACTCATTCACTATATTTCATTTAGGTCCTGTTCCTCCTCACATTAAATTATAAACAGCATCCAAACACACAACTTAAATATTCTCCCCCCCTTACAAGAGCAAGATATTAAATATGCTTATTTCAGTAAAGATATGAGATGATCAGGCCCTTATATGCTTTATAAGGGTTGGTTTTGTTTCAACAAGTTTGAAATTATAGGGCCTAATTCTGCGCCCACTGAAGTCAACGGCAAACCCCCACTGACTTCAGCGGATGGAGGAACAATCCCTCAGTTACTATGTGTTTTGTTTCCTTTCTAGCATTCAGTAATCAGTCTTTGATACTAGGAACACACTGCCCCCTCCATCCCCTATACACTCACTAGATGTAATAGTTAACACCCCTCTCTACCCACTCCCACAAGTCCTTCCCCACATAAGTCAGACAAAACTTCTACATGTATTACTATCCCTTCTCCCAAAATCCTCCTACAATCACATGCACAATTCCATTTGTTTATTAAATGTACAGGCTATGGAGCAGGATTGAAACTTCCTACCAGACATAGAATTTCATCTGTGTTCAGTAGTAAGCTCCAGCTATAGAGGAAGGGAAAGAAATACAGAATTGAGTCCTAAATATTCTTCCACTGTAATTTTGATTGCAGAGTTTCTTTGAGGCTTTTGTATTTGTTAATTTAAAATAAAAAAATAATCAACCAGATTAAAATTTGTTCTGTGGACTGCATATAGCTTAATACAATTAAATCAGTGAGACAACTCCTGGCATTAAAGTTAAGGATGTGTGTTTGCAGGACTGGAATCTTATGTATCTACCTTTAATAAAGTTAATTAGCTCACATGAATTAAAGAGAGAGAGAGAGAGAGCATGTGTGTGTGAAAATATTTAACATATTTGGTTCACCAAAAACGGCTGCAGATGCTCAAAGGCCAACCTAGGAAAAACAAAAAGTGGCTATGCAAAAATATCACCTTCAACAGATCAGCTCCCTGTGTGTATTCAGAATCTTATCTTCTCACTTTATAACACTGAATATTTAATTTTAATTTAAATTAAAGAAAAAAATTCTATGGCACAATTAACTTCTGTTAGCACTGAAGATTCCATACAACCATAGAACAGTGAGCAGCATTCTATATCAGTTCATGCATCAATAACGATTGTTAACCAAGTTACAATTACAAAATATTTTGACCTGATTTTCTGAGGCCTCAGGCATCTGCAGCTCCTGCTTACTACAATAAGAATTAAATTATAAGTATCACTAAAAATTATGGCACTTATTACTGTTTGTGGCCAAGATCCACCAGTTAGAAAGAACACAGCTTGATTTTCAGATTCCAGGTCAAGTCTACAGGACCTATCCTCTTGTAAATTGAGAATTTGATATGATGCCACTGACAAACAAGGAATTACTCTGAATGACTTAAAAAAGAAGTCCCAAACTTTAATTATTATTATCACTATTAACACCTCATTATGTATAATAATGAAATGCGAGGATGGAGTCTACCAAACTAAAACAGGTATCAGAAAAAAGCAGGTGTCTCACTTAAACAGTCCTTTGGCAAACTAGATTTACTAATGTACTAGAACTAGTAAAAAAATTACTAAAATGGTTCAAGGAGTCCTGACACAGATGCTCCAATTTTTAGGGCACTTAAACAACACCCTTAGAAGATGGAAAATCATTGTAGAAAAGAAATCAATAGCAACCTCAATGTCTTTCATCACTCTGCGATTTTCAGGCTTGCTCTTGACTCATTACAAACTTCCTAATCTGGACTGGAATTTTGAAAGCAAAAGCCAAAAAAGCCATCTTAATTAGTTACACAATATTTCACAAAACTTTTTGCCAACTCAAACCAGTGAAGCCCAATGACTTCCTGGAGTTATGAAACCTGTTTTCAGAGACTGCCCCTGGTTTTTTGTATTTGTTTAAGAATCTACCTTTTACAGGCAGAAAAAGGGAAGTAGTTGCAGTTTCTATACTTAAACAGTTCAGAGATGGCTTGATTTATAATGTGCTGTACAGAAAAACATAAGAATGGCCATACTGGATCAGACCAATGGTCCATCTAGCCCAGGGGTCGGAACCTCTGGCACGCGGCTCGCCAGGGTAAGCACCCTGGTGGGCTGGGCCAGTTTGTTTACCTGCCGTGTCGGCAGGTTCGACCGATCGCGGCTCCCACTGGCTGTGGTTTGCCGTCCCAGGCCAATGGGGGCTGCGGGAAGCGGCGCGGGTGAGGGATGTGCTGGCCGCGGCTTCCCGCCGCCCCCATTGGCCTGGGACGGCGAACTGTGGCCAGTGGGAGCCGCAATCGGCCGAACCTGCCGACACGACGGGTAAACAAACCGGCCCGGCCCGTGGGCCGGAGGTTGCCGATCCCTGATCTAGCCCAACTAGCTCATTCCCTCTGAAGCACCTGACACCAGCCACTGTTGGAGGACAGGACGCTGGGCTAGTATGGCCATTCTTAAGTTTTTTAAGGCTTTGACCAAAACTGCAACTTGCAAAATTACTCACTTGTATACTGATATAAGTCAGCCCTTTGATTCAAAAAGAGCTACTTGGACAGAGACTCCTCCTGGCTGTGTATCTATGATTAGCCACTTCTGCAATCAAATCCAGGGGTCACTGTAGTGCTGCAGGCTGACACTCAACCTAAAAGGCTTTTTTAACCGTGTGATCCCCTGAACAAGGAAGCTTTAAAATGATATCTGGTTTACACACACTCACCCAAAGAGGAGAGGGAAAGAGGCTCTGAATTAAGTGTCTAAAACCCCAAAGTGGGAGTGATATATACACACACACACTCACACACAGTGAGCCAGCCTTGCTTCCTGTGCAGGCTACCAACTCACCTGTAAGGCACAGGCCACTTGCGTTGTTGCTGGGGCTGGGATCCTGCAAGGGAGGCAGGCATCCCAACCACTAGCAGCAGCAACAGCAGCTCCCGGTGGCAACCGACCCTCATCCCTGGGCGCAGCCCCCGCCGACAGCCCCTGGCCGCTGGTCCGGACGCCTGACCACAGTAAGCTGTCCCGGGTGGGGATGAAGCAGCTGACTGGAGTCTGCCCGTCACATGGGCTCCGTGACTCAGCCCTGGCAAGGGCGGGGGAATTACACTGCCTCGATTTTCCTTTCGTTTTCGGGTTCTTTTCCTTCCTCCTGGCTCAGGCTGCCGCCTGCCTGCCGCCCTCTACTCGTCTCCCCCACGTGGCTGGTGAGCTCACTAAGTCGGGGGGAGGGGTTGTGGTTTGGGGACTGGGAGGGGAGGTAGCAGACTGAGCAGAGCGGGAGGGAGGGGAGTGGCACCGTGCCCCTGCCAACTTGTTGGTCACTCTTCGGGCATCCAGGCTGGTGGTGTGATGCACCAGCCGGGGGGGAGAGGGGTGTCTGGTTATATTATGGCTGTACCTTGCGTCGGCCGGGCGCCGCTTTATTACTATTATTATTATTATTAATAATAATTTTGTATTTTATTAAAAGCTCAGCTGTGTGTGGGTCCCTCTTTCTTGGTGTTGGGGTGCATTTCTGGTGGTGGTGCACCTGCACCAGCGGGGGCTGCGAGGGGGGACACTTGAGGGGGGGTTGTGTGGGGGAGGGGCACTGAGAGGTGTCGCCTAAGGGGGACCTCAGAGAGTGAGTGGGGCGGGGGAGGGGATATGGAGACCCGGGCAATGTGATGGGGGAAATCCCGGGGGAGGGGCTAAAGGACCCTGTTTCAGGGGGAGAGTCTGAAATGGGGGGGGGCAGAATCTTGGTCTAATGAAGGCTGTAGGTGGGGTATCTACATTTTGAGGCGATGCAGGGGGAGTCTGGGGGACGGACAGTGCAGAGCACTGTGGGGATTACATGTGGGGGTCTGGCTGGGCATTGGGGGATTTATGGTGGCCCTGGCAGGGGTGGTGGGCTGTTAAAAGTCCGGTTGGCGGTGCTGCGGCGCAAAGGCAGGCTAGTCCCTACCTGTCCTGGCTCCGCGCTGCGCCCTGGAAGCTGCCAGCAGCAGGTCCGGCTCCTACGCAGGGGGCCACAGGGCTCTGCGCGCTGCCCCCGCCCCAAGCACCAGCTCCACACTCCCATTGAGCAGGAACTGTGGTGGTGGTGCCTGCGGGGGAGAGCAGCGCACAGAGCGGCCCACGCCCCTCTGCCTAAGGCTGGCTGCTTCCAGGCGCAGCGCGGAGTCAGGACAGACAGGAAGCCTGCCTTAGCCCCCCTGCTGCGCCACTGACCTAAAGCCGCTGGAGGTAAGCCTGCACTCCTGCTCCAGCCCTGAGCCCCCTCAAACCCAGAGCACCCTCCCACACCCTGAACCCCTCTTCCCCACCCCCCAGCTTGGAGCCCCCTCCTGCACCCCAAACCCCTCATCCCTGGCTCTATCCCAGAGCCTGCACCCCCAGACGGAGCCCTCCCCACCCCTACCCCAGCCCGGAGCCCCTTCCCGGACCCTGAAACCCTCATTTCTGGCCCCACCCTGGAGCCCGCACCCTCAGTTAGAGCCCTCATCCCTTCTGCCTCCACCCCCTGCCCCAGCCCAGTGAAAGCGAGTGGGAGTGGGGGTGGAAGTAGGGGAGGGGTAATGTAGTGAGCAGGGGGCAGGGCCTCAGGGAGGGGCGGGGCTAGGGTGTTCAGTTTTGTGCAATTAGAAAGTTGGTAACCCTAGTGGATGCACATGGAGGTCTGGGAGGGCAGTTGGGGGTGCATGGGGCCCAGGCTGGGGCAGTTGGGGTGGAGGCACATGGGAGTCTGGCAGGGGCAGTGGGGGGACATGGGGGTCTGGCTGGGGAAGTGGGGTGGAGGAGGCATGTGGGGCCCTGGCAGGGGCAGTTGGGGTGAAGGCGCATGGGGCTCAATAGCAAATTAAGTGTCTGGCCAATCTCACCCCTTCTCATTTGAGAGGGGGGAGGTTAATTGGAGGTTAATCCAAAATAGCAAGAAGTGCAGAATAACAGGGAGCAGGGTTGGCCGGTACCAGATTTTGCCCTCCATTAAATAGCTAAAAATTCAGGTTGAAGGTGCATATTAGCAAGGCAGCAGCAGCGGCTGCATATCAGCGAAGCAGCAGCAGCCGCACAGAGCCAATGTGGGGCTGCAAAGCAGTAGTGATTCCCTCTCTCATGCGAAAGGCTGAGGATGGTTTCCTGGTCGGAAGAGGCCAGGAGCCCAAATGCACCTGCAGGCTTGCTCCGCCCCAGTACTTCCAGCTCCAGCTGCTTGTCTCAGGCTCCTAACTCGCCTGGGGCTGCTCACAGGAGGCAGGCTCTGAACAGACATGCGCATAAGACCCAGCAAGTTGGGAAGAGCCACCCGTGGAGACGAGGCGATGCTGCACCCAGCGCAGATCACGTGCAAACAGCTTGTTGACCCTCACCGGCGACGCCCCTGGCCTACCGCCCCAGACCGAGCCAGGCAGGCAAGTGTCTACACTGGCAATTTACAGCGCTGCAACTTTCTTGCTCAAGGGTGTGAAAAAAACCCACACCTGAGCGCAGCAAGTTTCAGTGCTGTAAAGTGCCAGTGTTGGCCGTGCTCCCAGCGCTGGTAGCTACGCCTTTTGTGGAGGTGGTTTTTTTAGAGCACTGGGAGAGCTCTCCCCCAGCGCTCTGCCCCGACTACACAAGCCACATTAAAGCACTGCCGCGGCAGCGCTTTAACATTGCCAGTGTAAACTAGCCCTCATCAGGGATAAGTGCTCGTTGGTGGTAGGGCACTGTATGAACCAGCATTGATGGTGAAAAAATAAAAATAAAAACAAAAGACATGCACCCCCCCGTCTTCCCAACTGCCCCAGCCAGGGCCACCGTGCGCTTCCCCCGTCCCCAGCTGTCCCAGCCAGGGCCCCCATGCGCTTCCCCCATCCCCAACTGCCCCAGCCAGGGCCCCCGTACGCTTCCCCCATCTCCAACTGCCCCAGCCAGGGCCCCCATGCGCCTCCCCTCCCAATTGCCCCAGCCAGGGCCCCGGTGTGCCCCCCCAACTGCTCCAGCCAGGGCCTCCGTGCGCTTCCCCCATCCCCAACTGTCCCAGCCAAGGCCCCTGTGCGCCCCGCCCCCAACTGCCCCAGCCAAGGCCCCATGTGCTTCCTCCATCCCACTTCACCAGCCCGACCCCCGTGCCTCCCCAACTGCCCCAGCCAGGGTCCCCTCGTACCCCCTCTCCCCCCAACTGCCCCTGCAACACAGCCTTGTCACTAAAAGCTGCATAGTGTAGACAAGCCCACAGTGACTCTAGTTTTGCCCATTCTAGAGTCTGCAGAAATGCCTGGGTGAACTGCAGGCCTCATGAGCCTGAGTTCAGTGGCCAGGCCATTTCAGACCTTGGCTTCTTTAGTAAAACTGCCAATTGGTGATGCTTGCAGTGGTGTTGTAAAATGGACCCTTGTCCATCAGGACCCACAGGGACACTACCAAATCTCTTCACATAGACCACAAAGAGCCATTAGATGGTGACAATTTAGAATGGCTACTAATTTGGGCTAAATTTAAATCAGCAAATTAGAGGTGAAAGGGTCTGTATCCTGTAACTGGTCCCCAGATCGATCCTGTGCCTCTGTAAAATGTTCAGATTTCAGAAGGCCGTCATCATGGCACATTGATTTTATTTATAGTTTTATACAGATATATTTAGGTTGATACCAATTTTACTGTTAGTGTTTTAATCTTATGTTTTTAATATTTGTATCTGTGTGTGTTTTATTGTGGAGCTCCTGTTTTCGTAGATAGATGCTATAAATAAACTGTTCTTTTATTCAGATTTGTTTCCTACCTTGCATTTAGTATTGTAATATTAAATGTTAACTCCTTTGTCCAGAAAGGCATGTATTTTTACTGAATGTACTAATTCCTAGCTTTTGTATAGCACTTTTCTCTGTAGATCTCAAAGTGCTTTACAAAGGAAGGTGTAGGCATCATCACCCCCATTTTGCAGATGAGGAAACTGAGGCACAGAGGTGAAGTGACATGCCCAAGCTCATACAATGGGTCACTGGCAGAGCTAGAAATAAAAAAAAACTAGTCTCCTGATTGAGTCTCAGTCCATTGCTTTATCTACTAGGCCATACTGCCCTACAGTAAGTGAGCATGGATTGTCTACAAATCTAAATAATAACCAAGTGTAACATTAAAATTAAGTAGACACAGCTGCTGAGGGTGTTCTTAAAAGACAGCTATAAGATGGCAAGACTACTGAAAGTCTTACCCAGCAGCAGGATTGTTGCACAGAATGCACTGAAGTCAGGTCCAAGACAACATTGACAGTTATATGCTCTGCCTTTTCATGTATGTACTTTACACAATATTTTAATCCAAGAACTACAACGTTAATGGCTATTTCTGAGTCTGCAGCTGAGTCTAGTTAATTACTCTGAACCTAACTGAGGGCCCCATGCAACTCCCCTTGACTTAAATGGAGTGGAATCAGGTCCTCTGTCAGCAGACAAGCAATGCAGAAGAGCTGGGAGCAGCTATAGAGATCAGCTTCTGGGAGCTAGTTAGACTGCTCTTTTGATCTCAGTCTCTGGAAGTGTCTTAATAAAATTTAAAAATTTTGTTGAAGAAATTCTAATCGATGCTCTGTGACTTATCAATACAAACCAGCACCTTTCCCATTTCTGCATGACAGAGGGCCAGAGGCTATAAGGAATAAAAAGAAACAAAGAGGCAAGATAGATCTTCTGCAGCAACTGAATCCTTAGATGAGGTGTGACCGTATAAAGCCGCAGGGGGGAAAAATGCATTAATAGTCACAGAGAAGAGACTCTTGATAAGGAAGCAACAGCTGCTATGTTATTAAAACTGCCTTTGCAAAAACATCTCTGCATGATACTTATGTTCAAGTACACATCTGTCAGCATATAAACAGACAATATGCCATCCAATCAGAAAGTTATGAGTGTAGCTGGATCACAGCTGATGAATCTGATACCCAGTAGTTTGACTGCTCCCATCATCTTATACTGAAACAGTGACCTATTTAGAGATT